TACTTTAATATTAATATAATATATAATTATTTAGCAATTTTTTTATTACATTTATCTCCAAAAAAATTAAATAATTTTAAAAAATTATCATCACTAGGCTTCATTTGTAATAATTTTCTTTCTGCTTTGTTTTCCAGGTCACAACCGTAATTTATATTGGTCTAATTTTTTGCACTTAAAAAAAAAGTACTAAAAATATATTTTCTATAATAACTTAAAAAAATTATTTTATCTACAATAAAATTATAAAATAGTAAGAAAACTCTTCCAAATGAAATCTAAAGCTTCATTTGGGACAGATTTTTTATTTTTTTAAGTAAAATTTTAATATAATTTTTTTTACTTAAAATTACTCTAAAAATAATAAAAAAAATTTCTCAAATAAAACCTAAATTTCAATTGAAATATCTTCAATGAATTTTCTCCAAACAAGGCATTAATGTCAAGTTCTGCCTTCCATAAATTCAGTAGGTTCCACAGTTAAAAAGATAGTATGATTACGATAGGAACCTCTTTTTTCTTCATATAAAAGCAATTATGCACTCCTAAAGAAAAGTAAAATAAAAATTATTTAATTGTTTTTCATAATTATAATGAAAATCTAGGTCCTAAACGAAAAATAATGATGTAGATTAGATTTCTTCTAGTGGTGCGTCCCGTTCATTGATCTTCTGGTACTTGTATTTTGTCGTGTAGCCGCGTCATTAATTCATCCGCAATTCTCGTTCATTATGGATCAAAGTATCAAACACTAAAATATAATTATTTTATTTTCTTTTTTAAAAATAAATAAATAAATTAAATTTATTTTCATCTAATTTTTTTTTATTTGATCAACTCATATGTTAAAAATTAGAATTTAGAATAAGTCAAATTGAGGGTTTGGACAAAGACAAATCTAGCGATACTAAAAGTGATCTGATTTGAATACAAAGGAGCTTCAATCAAACATTTGAAGTGGAATTAGAAAGTTTGGGATTTTGATTGAAGGATGAGATAATCTCTAATTTTGAGATTGTTTGTAGTCTAATTGATCGGCTCGACCTGGCAAATCCAATGAGCCCATGATCACATTATTTTGAGGTCATTAATGCACTTAAATGTTGATTAATGAATGATTTGTGATGAGAATATGAGTCGTTCGTTAAATTTATCAAAATACCACCCTGAAAATATTATTATTGTTGCCACATTCTATATATGAAGGGGCTGAAACTTGAGTTTGGAGAGAATATAGGTTGGTGACTATCATTCTTCCGATTATCATAGCATGATTATCATAATATAACAATTGCCCTATAGCTATCATTATTTTACCACAATCGATTGACTATATCAATTTATTCATGATCGTTTAATCATCATCATTTGACTTATATCATCCGACCATCAACACGTGATCGCCATCAACCAACCATCATCATCGAATAATTCTACCACGACTAACACCATCTAAGTTCTCCATCGAAGTACAAGATATTACAAAGTATATAATGCAAGTTTATTGGGGAGAGAGAGAGAGAGAGAGAGAGAGAGAGAGAGAGAGAGAGAGAGAGAGAGGCAAACCTCATGGTTTATTATCTTTTTTTTTTTCAATAAAAAAGACTAGGGTATACAATGTGCTATTGAGTGATGGTTTGGGGCAATTTGGATGGAAAGGTTTAAAAATTCAAAATTATTGCCTTTGAGAGTTTCAATTGAATGAGTAGTTTTTTATTTTGGCATCTACAATATTCATGAAATTATATAAAAATATACATAAATTTAGATATTTGATGCTATATGATATGCTGCCGATTTATAAAAAAAAAGACTTACAATCAAATGAAAAATACATTTGAATATCATACGTAAAATTTTAATTTATAAAATTTTTAAAGATAATATTGTTACTCTTAAGCCAATCAATCAAAAGATTATCCAAAGGCAATAATTTAAACATAGACTTAATAAATATGCCGAGCAAAATATGTATTAGACATATGTGCAAGCATATAAATTTAGAACAAACATGCATTTGAGGTATTGTGGTTTCTTTCTAAACATAATTAATTAAGCAGTCACAATGGGGCATGTCTTTTTGAAAATTTATAAGTCCACACTCTTTACATGAAGAAGATCATTGGCTTGAAGTTTAAGATAGTTTATATGCATGAAGAATCTTAGAGCGTCGATCGAGCATTGCTATCGAACCACTGTTATCGACAATTGCTTAAGCACCACTATCAGACTACTGCCCGACCAATGTTGTCTAACCATTAGCATATGGCTATTATTGGATTAATGTCGTTCAACCAACATCATAGGACCACCGCTACCATCAAATCCCTCACACTAGATTGCCAGTGATAAACCAACATAATAGAACCATTACCTTCTATGGACCACCATCGTCTAATAACCACATCCCAACCATCATTATCACCATATTACTTCCATCAAATTGTTGTTTTCAAACCACCATCATCTAATTGTTGTTATATAACCAGCATCGTTGAATTGCCACCGCTTGACCACCATCGTTTAACCACCACAATCACTAGATCATTGCCATCAGAGCATTCCTACCTGACCATTGTCATATAACAACCATCAAACAACCATTATTTTTGGATCATTGACATCTGACCACCAACATCAAACCACAAGCATTGCTGGATCACCACCATTGGACCGACATTTCTTAATCGTCACCGTTGCCGAATTTGCATCATCGCATCACTGCCACGTGGCCACCATCTTACATTTTTGTAATCAATGCTCACGGAGTGAAATTGTTTCATCTGGGCCAAATCCCATGATTTTTCCTCTACTCAAGATTTCCCTGAAAAAATGGCATCTCCTGTGCTCTCTATCATTTATCTAGTCGTGTTCGGTGTCTTGCACAAAGCTAGAACGCTAAATTCTCTCACTCTACAACCACCACTTTTCTAGCATACAACATTTATATCATATTTTATACATTTATATTTATATAAATAAATATACTTATATATGCCAACTTGTACATTTTATAATTTATATATGACTTTGAAGCAACTTTATATTTATAAGCAACTCCTATTCCATTTATTTACACCAACTACTAATTAATCTCCACTATTATAATGATTGCTCAAATAAACATTAAGCAATCATTAGAAAATATAAGTCCACAACACATGCAATAATTATGCATAATTGTTCAAATTATCTTAGGGATCAAACTAATTAAGCATTTATTAAAATTCGTGCATGCTGTGTTCTAGAAGCACTTACATGCCTAGAATTGTCTTACTTCCATTTCCTCCATTAGAATTATTGAAATGGACGGTGAGTGTGACAAAATATGCTCAAAGGATTCTAGAAGGATTGGCAAGCATAGAGTTTTGGACTTCCATTCCTAAGTTACCAATTATGAAGACCCACCTTTCTCTTTGGGCCAGCCAATAGAATAAAAATAAAAGTATTAAAAATGATTTAAAAATAATAAATACAATTATTTTATCTCCTTTTGATGACCCGGTTAGGAGAGCAGGTGTGTTGGATTTTAACTATGTTAAGAAAGATAGAGGTATTCCTGTAAAGACGGTTAGAAAATATTAGAAATTACATTTTTTTGTTAAATTTAAATGAGAATTTGAATATTAAAAGGACGCAATGGAGAAAAAGAATTCATGTAGCTGACCTCACATAGTGGAATAAAGGCTTGATGTTGTTGCACAAAATCTCCTTTGCTCTTGAGTAAATATATGATAATAAAAATTGTGACGTGCAAATAATAAGATTGGCAGCATGAATTTTTTTTTTAAATAACAAAGTTTATTTAAAGAACCCTAAATTCACAAAATATAGGAAAAAAAAATCCAATGCTATACCATGATTGAATTCACATCAAAATTGTCTCATTATTGTAAGATTTGTGCTAAGATTAGTGATATATATATGATATCCAAAGATTATACTAATCTCAGAGCAAATCCAAGGGTAATGAAATCTATCATGATGGGAATTCCATTGAGATATCCCAGCGTAATTTTTCCCAAAATATATTGAATTTATCATTGGGTTGAATTTCATAATAGTTATAACATGTCATATCAATGCATCGATTTTGAGAGCTAGAAAGTTAAGTATAAAATCGAAAGGGAGTATTCAGATGCGAAACCAGGATTTTTCTCTTGTAGGGGCATAATTTATTAAGTTTTAAAAAGCTTCAGTTTGTAGCTCTATGCGCGAGTGAATTAAAAAGCTTCAGCCCATGGTCTCTACGTGCGTGAAAAGCAGGGCAGGAATGCAGGATTCAAATGCCAAAAAAAATCTTAGTATTAATTATTTTCTTTAGGCATCAATTAAGAAGTAATTACTAAACTTAATTAGATATTAATCACACAGCCAATGGGGGTCAGTGCCTAGGACCTCTAGTTTAAATGCGCACCTGGGAGTATATCCATGCTTATTGAATTTACAAGTACAACCATCCTCGATAACATTTTAAACAACGATGTCCATAATCATTTCGCTCGAGTTTGCAATTCCGAAGAGTTTAATCATGATCGATAACAATGTCTTAATTGGAGCACATTGATGAGGTCGATAAAATCATTTTTACTTTTAAAGAATCACTAAATAAAGATATTAACATGAATATGAATTTCAAGATTTTTGTAACATTCATCTATGTAGACAGCATAATTTTTTTTCATAATAGAAATAATATAATATATATTTATAATATTATTTTATATAATTGTGGCTCACATGATTCTCAAAGATTTCCCACATAAATGTATCAAAATGGAAAGAAATCTTAGAGATTAAGAGATATGTATAATTGAATATAAAAATAAAAATAGAAATATCACCTCCTGAGGTAGGAATTTACTTGACCCCACCGGCCAACTCTCATGACACCTAAGCATGACAGGTGGGATTCAAGTGGGTCCCACAAGCAGTAATTAAAAAAATAAAATAAAATAAAATAGAATTGTATTTTATTTTAACATTTCCTCCTTCCTCACTTTACACCCACCGTACTTCTCCAAATGCCGAGCCGAGCGGCCCATCCAAACGCCAAACCAATCCAAAATCCTCCCGTCTTCTTTCTCGACAGGATGGCTTCCTCTCTTCCCTTCCTCCTCTTCCTCTTCCTCCTCCACTTCTCCACCGCCGCCTCCGAAGACAGCACTTCGCCGGCCATCTTCCGCGCCGTCTGCGGCAAAAGTAATACCTCCGACCCCGAGGGCTTTGACGTCCACTTCGTCGACGCCATGGAGAAAGTCTTCCAAAACATCACCATATCCGGCTTCGGCACCTCCGTCTCCGGCCCCGACTCCAATCTCACCGTCTATGGCCTCGGCCAGTGCTTCTCCTACCTTTCTCATGTTAACTGCCAGCTCTGCTACGCCCAAAGCCGCGTCAAGCTCCCCCACTGCCTCCCGGCCAGCACCGGCCGTATCTACCTCGACGGATGTTTCCTCGAGTACGCAGACCGCGACGTCTCCCGCGATTCCGTCGACTCCGCCGATACCTTCGATTGCGGGAACGCGACTTTCCCCAACGGGCCTGCTCCGGCGAATCTGACCTCGCGCTTGGTCGGGAATCTGACGGCGAACGCTTATCAGAAGAAGGGTTATTACGAGGTAGGGAGCATCGTGATCTCTTCGAGCCTGACGGTGTACGCGATGGCGCAGTGTTGGTTATCTTTGAATTCGAGTGGATGTAGGGCTTGTTTAGAGCAAGCGAGGGATAATTTGGTTGGGCGGTGTTTGCCTGCGTCTTCTTCGGATGCCAAGGCGATGAATGCGGGATGCTTCATGAGGTACTCGACGTATCCTTTTTATTTGCCGGTGGATGGCAGCGGCGGTGGAAGCTCTTCTCATGGTGATTTGGTTTTAGTTCAATCTTGTCTAATTTGCTTCTTTTGTTTGTGTTTTGGGAATTAATGGATTTGTTTTCGGTTCTGATGCAGTTTGGATTTGGGTAGTTGTGGCTCTAACTGTTACGGTTGTTGTGTTGGCTGTGATTGGGGGAGCTGCTTACTGGAGATGGAGGAGGTCTCGTAATCCTGAAGATGGTAAGAAAAGTTTGAAGAGAAGCAAACAAATCTCAACTTTTTTTTGGGTGGAGTTTTGAAAGTTTTTAATTGTCTGTTATGAATGGATTCTCTATGCAGAAGCTAACAGTGAGGTCATCAGATCCATCTCAAAATCTCATCTAAGTTTCAAATATGAGGATTTATGTCAGGCAACAGACAATTTTAGTCAAAATAACAAGCTCGGCCAAGGGGGTTATGGCTCGGTTTATAAGGTAAGTTCTCTCTTGTAATTCCGGGGCTTTTTTTGGTTCTAGATTAGATAAACTCGAGCTACAGATTAGGTAGATTTTGAGGATTAAATCAGTATTAACTCAATTTCTATATGGCATGCATAAGATTTTCATCACTGATACAATAGAATTATTCCTGATCTAGGGGAAAGGTGGATTAAGATCACATTTTGACCATCTAATGTCTGATTTATCTGTATTAGACACTTAATCCGTCCTTAATCATTAAAAATTTCGAACCAACAGCCCCTCAGTAAATTGTTAAGCTTCTCAGAAGCCATTGATGTATGGTTAAAGATTGTTATGTGTGTTCTTGCAGGGGACTCTGCCCGATGGAAGAGAAATAGCTGTTAAGAGACTTTTCTTCAACACCCGGCAATGGGTTGATCAGTTCTTCAATGAAGTCACTCTCATCAACCAAGTTCAGCACAAAAATCTTGTAAAGCTTCTTGGTTGCAGCGTCGAAGGGCCTGAAAGCCTTCTTGTCTACGAGTACCTCTGCAACACCAGCCTTGATCACTACTTATTCGGTAAGGTTCAGACTCAGTATTAGAAGAACCCAAGTCCTTAGTGAATTCAACTGAGCTTTTTCACCTCATGATTACTTGCAGATACATTCAAGAAGCACGAACTGGATTGGGAAAGACGATTTGATATCATGCTTGGCACCGCAGAAGGGCTAGCTTATCTCCATACTGCTTCTGTTGTAAGAATAATTCACAGGGATATAAAAGCCAGCAACATACTATTGGATAACAGGTTCAGGGCCAAGATTTCTGATTTTGGCTTAGCAAGGTACTTTGCAGAGGATCAGAGCCATCTCAGCACTGGCCTAGCAGGAACTTTGTAAGCCAGACAAGCCCATTTATCCTTCTTTCCTCCATTATTTTCTGTCTCTTTTCTACTGAAACAAGCTTTTCAATGCTTCTAGCGGCTACATGGCACCAGAATACATTGTTCATGGGCAACTAACTGAGAAGGCAGATATCTACAGCTATGGAATTGTTGTTCTTGAAATCATCACTGGTCGTAAGAACCAGAACTCGATATCGACATCGGCGGAAGGCCATTCGCTCATGCAGCAGGTAAAATTCCTGCTCAACTCCATACCAGCTGATGTGATGATGAGCTCTGTTGGATTAATAATGGCTGTTTCTGCTTGGTAACAGATATGGCAGCATTACAACTCTGATACATTGATAAAATTGCTGGATTCTGATCTTCAAGGAAAGTGCACAGAGGAAGAAGCCCTCAATATATTCCATGTGGGGCTTCTCTGTGTCCAGGCATCTCCGGCATTGCGACCGCCGATGTGGAAGGTTGTGGAGATGCTAACGAGCAGATCAAAGGAGCTTCCTGCACCCAGCCAACCTCCATTCATCAACATTAAGGGGACAGATAGCACAAGCAGAAGTGAAAGCTCAGAGACTTCATACCTGCTTTCTTCCTCAGTTAAGTCTCTTGATTCTGGGCAGGCTTCAGTCAATCAGGTATCAGTCAGTATTTTTCAGGGCAGGTAATAGATTTGGCTCACCGTTTCCTTAGCAACTTGGTTAAGGATTCTTTCATTTTTGCCCCTTTTTTCTAAAATTGCGACAGCATAGATGAAAATGCTCCTAATCTTCTTTGCATACACTACAAAAAGGAACTTGAGAAACATGTATAGATGTCTGTATTACATATGAGAAACATGTAAGATTTTGGAAAAAAATAACTCGAGAAACCTGTATAGATGTTTGTATTAGAGGTGAGAAATATGTTAGGCTTTGGAAAAAAAGAAGACTTGAGAAACATGTACAGTGTTTGTATTAGATATGATTTCACTCCCTTTTTTTTCAGATGGTGAGTACAGTGATTATTTTCTGCACCTATGTTGCAAATAGGGTTATGAATGATGTCAGACTTGTACATTTTGGAGAGATAATTCAGTGCGGAACCGTCCGGTTTTGTGTCTGTGAAAATAGTAAAAGCGCAGTTCATCTGTTCATAGAGACACATCAGACGGTTCTCTCCGTCCGGTGTCCACACAGAATAATTCATCTACATTTTGAGCTGATTTGGAGCTAGATTGATCCGATTTTGGTCCAATCTATGCCAAACGAAAAGTTTAGCTCGTCACTCGATTAATCTTTCAGCTAATGCTTTTTTTGATACAATTTTCTTATTATTTTTTGAAGCAATTTTCTATTAAAAAAATTCTTAAAAGTTGGTCAAAAGCTGCCCAAATAAAACTTAAAACGTTAGCTCTAATTATAAATCTTTATCTGCTAAGGAAATCTACAGTCCCAAATCTCAAAGAAAATTTAGTACTAAAATAAAGGATTGCATCAAGAAATTTAGCTGTCGGCTGTGACGAAAAAAAACTTAAAAATCCAATAACTCTTCCAGCTTCTGCTTTAAAGAGGGTCAACAACAGCGCCTGATACGGAAGAGAGAAAAAAGAGGCACTACAAAGAGATGAATTAATTGTGAGGGGGATGGTTATTTCAAAGTTTTCATATATTTTATAATTGGTTGCTCATTAGTACAAAAGAAATATTAGTCACAAATGAAAATCATGAATGTCTAAAATTTCGGCAAATATTATAAAAATATTGATAGCAAAGTTACTTTAGAAAGTTCATATGATTGAACAGTGTTACTAATTATAGCAAAATTTTCAATGATTTTTCTTTAATTTATAATGAAATTTTTTTAAATATATTGATTTATTTTACAGTAGAATGAGTTTTAAAGGTTTTGAATTTATATTGAGATTAATAGAACCCTTAAATGTTATATTTAGCATTAATCTTAGTACAATTTCAAGAGCTTTGAATCATATATTGATTCCAAACTAGGCAGGCTATCTTGCACAATTTTCTTATCATTTATAATTGATTGTGAACTCTCGTTGTTATATATATTGGATGTACAATAATACATTTGATAAATTTTTTTTAAAATTAATATTGAAATTTTAAATGTCATAGATTACCCTTAAATAGTGAACTCTTCATTGTTATATAGAGATGCTAAAACAGGTTTTTTGGGCCGTGTCTGGGTCTTACTTGAGATTGCCATTTTGAGCCCATCTGAATTGAACCCGACTTGCCCACATTTGGTTGACCCGACTTGACATGATGACCCATTTATTTACCAATTCATCAATTAGAGGAAATGTTGAATGTTGAGTGAAGATATACAAGTGATAAGAAGGGTCGGCTGTTGAACAACGTCAACGTGTCGGCTCTGTTGAGCAAGGTATCATTGGTTGCAACACAAATAAATAAAAAATAGATTAGACTACATTAGTTGGAGCATGTGAGAGCAAAGTAGCGAGAGTGACAGAAGAAAGAAAAATCATATTATATTATCTTTAGTTGGTATTTTCCAATGAACAAAAAATGTGATGGATTCAAGTTTTTTGTTTTGCAATTCAGTGGTCAAAATTAGGTCATTTTTGTGTTGGATAGTTGGTTGGGTTTGAGTTTAGGGTTTTGACTCATTTACTAAAGATATTTGGGCTTGGGTCAGATGGTTTCAAAGCGAGTTAACTCGGGTCAGGCCCAAAACTAGCTCAAAAACCTATTTTAACAACCCTTTATAACAATATAGAGTTGAATATTTATTATAAATTGGAGAAAATAAATTTAAATAAAAAATTTTTAAGTTAGGTTTATACCAAAAAATCAAGTTGTGTCTTTTATTAATACTCCTATTGTTATTTATATAGTGGATATATGGATTTTGAGTTTTATTCTTGTATATATCTAAGGGCAGATCTGATTCTTGGCAATCTTCTATGTGGCACAAACTTTATGCTCTGTGATACTTGGTTTTTAGGTTGGTTGTGTCTTTTTGGAAGACTTAAAATAACAAATGTCTTAATTAAGAGGAATATTATTGTGGATTCCTTATGACGTCTATGCAATTCAAAACATGAAAATCTCTTACATCTCTTCTTTGAATGTGATTACTCTTATAATGATATTGGTGGTTTGATCCCTTGGCTGCAAAATTTCTTGTTGCGTCCTATTCTCATGCAAGCAATGGAATTTATTAGTGATTTGGTTCATTCTAATACGAAGAAAAAGTTTCTACTTTCTTATTTTATGGTGCTATGTTTATCATCTTTGGAAGGAGAGAGATGCTAGAAAATTTGGGAGTAATGTCAATAGCTTTGCCACTCTTCGCCTCATTATTAAAAGGTCTCATGAGATTTCAAGATTTAAAAAAGGTGATGTATCCAGGAAGCTTCTTTAAATTTATTTGTTTGTTTATAGGTTTCATGCCCCCTGCGCCTGGGTGTTTTGTTCTTTAATACCCCGCTGGCCTCCAGATATTCTTAACTGCTACTCTCTTTCTTGTTTTGCAATTTGTCGCCTTCCGTGAATTTTATATCTATTTGAATTTTCGGAAGCCATGGACGATGAGTATTTCCCATCCAGATCTCAACCAAGGTTGCCTTTTGTTTTGGAATTGCAGCTGATCATCTGTTATTCTATTTCGATAAATTTTATATTTGACTTTGTATTTTATTATTTCTTTTCTTTTATTTCTCATTACAATTCTATAAACTCCTTTTGATCGTCTTCCTTAACTTGTTTTGTGGTTTGCCTTTTAGCCTTCTCCTATCATATTAGGAGTTCTTTTGACTGTTTCAACTTAGAGGTCTGCTCTTTTTTGTTGGACTACTAATTCGATTTTTTATAATTTTTTTACCTATAAGTTTTCATTAAGTCCTTTATTTTTTTCCATAATAATAATAATAAAATATTATTTTTATGGCCGTGCCAATCATGCCAAGTTTTCTAGTATACGCCGGCAACATTTATTATTTATGTATTAAATTTATTTTGAAAATTATGTATTATATGAAAAGAAAATTTGACAAAGTCAACTAACAGATGGCCAATCATTATCGAACAAGTGGCGGGCACGTAGCAGGAAACGCCAAAGCGGAAAAGCTGGTATCACAATCGGCCTGGCTTGAGTTGGATTTTGAATTTTATCGGTATTTTAGAGTCGTACAAAATATTACTGAGAAAGTCAAAAAAGTAGGGCTTTGAATTTTTTTTTTTTTTTTGGGAAATTTAGGGGCATAGCCCGTATCATTGCTGAAGAAAAATTACAAGTAAGAAAAAAGGAAACCTATGGTCTTGATTCACAACAACAAAAAGTGAAGCCAAAGACAACAAAAGAACAAAAAGGAAATTACAATTGAAAAGTAAAAATGCTAAAATGAGCAAAAGGACTCAGGTGGCATAATGGTGAACACGGGAAGGGTCAAAAGCACGAAGGGACTGCACCATGCCATGCCCTTGGTTGCCAATAAGACCTTCCTAAGGGCTGCTGCAAAGCAGCTATCATCATCGTCCTTACAAAAACCGGCTCCCAGAGAACATCAACAAAAATCCAATAACCATTAGTGAATGCGCTGATTGTGATTCCAATTTGCAGTCTTCCCGAGAACTGCCAGAGCAATTTTCCTAGAAACCGTGGCTTGACAGTCAAAAATGCCACCAAAAAGTCTGTCGTTGCGAGCTCTCCAAATAAAATACACAGCAGCACATCCAGAGAGCAAGTAATAACTGGTTTGAATAGAACTAAGCCTTTGATCCAGCACACTATCTAAAGCTTGGTAAAGATTGGGGCGCATAAGATGATTACCCAGCCACGGAAAAACACCTTTGATGATGTTAAAAGTAAATTTGCATTCGAAAAAAAAGTGGGACACAGTTTCATTCTCAACAAAACAAAAACAACATTTAGTAGCAGTGTTGATCCCACGATGAGCTAAAACATCCTCAGTTTTCAGGCCACCCTTAAAAGCCATCCAGGTACAACTAGAAAACCGAAGAGCCCCTTTTTTATGCCAAACAAGTTTGTGCCAAAGGGTCTTAGCCAAATGACCATATAAGATGTCTTGAAAAGTTTGAAATTTAGGCTTCTGACAACCCAACCAAAGATGACTTTCCACAGCTTCATTAATGTGAATGCAGGAAATAGCAGAGATAGTAGAAGAGTCAAGGCATTTAGGAAGAATCCACGACATATCACAAATAACTTTAGAGATCTTCCAGTTCGACATAAACGAGCATTCCTGCAGCTCATAATTCGTAATCAGTAAATCTGCAATAGATTTACCATTACACCAGGGGTCCAAAAGAAAGGACAAATTGCTATTTTGGTGGACAAAAAGGTTAAGGCAATGCTTAACAGTATTAGCTTTGGAGGAGATAAAATTTCGATAAGTTGAACCTTTACCATTCCACAAGTTCCATAAGGACGAATAGCAAGCTCTCCTCCAGTAAAAAAGAGGGTTATTACTGTTCAAAAACCTCCAAATAATCGAGCAAGCAAAATTATGTTGAAGGCTATCAATGGAGGGAATACCCAAACCCCCAAATTGTTTCGGCAAACAAGTGTTCTTCCAAGAGATGGTGTGAAGTTTTTTCAGACTAGTATCCCCAAAGTATAAGAATCTAGAGCAAAGACGATTAATCGTTTTACAGCAAGCTTTAGGTATGATAGAACCCCTTATCCAATAGGCCAAAGTGTTACAAATGGTAAATTTTATGAACTGGATATGCCCAGCAAAAGATAAAGTTTTGGCTTTCCAACCCGCAAGAGAGGAGCTGATATTATGGATCAGGGGTTGGAAGTCCAAAGCTTTCAGCTTGTTGTAAAAAATTGGAAGCCCAAGGTATTTGAGGGGGTTAAAGGATTGCTGTATATGAAGAATATCACAAATTTGCTCAGCCTGCAAGGCTCCCTTAGAAATTAGGATGCTACTCTTATGGGCATTGACTAAACCAGCAACAGACGCAAAATTATCAGGAATGTCATTGAGAGTATGAGCATTGGTACTGGTAGCTTCCCCAA